TCCACTCTTACGAAGAATTCCTGAATTCCTCACAATTGTTACACTCTATTGGAAATTCTATACACTAATGGAACCTCTCTAACCTCCAACGCCTCTAGACTCTCTCTCAATTTTTGGCCAAAATGTTCTTTTAAAGTTGTGGATGAGCTTTCCCAAGAGTTGCCTAAGCATCCCTTCAAAATTTGGCCAAAATTTGGCCTTATCCAAAGCTTCAGTACATTATCTAAAGCTTGAGTAGGCATAACCGTCGATCTCTTTGTCGGCGGACTCGAGGGCGCCGTCGGCGGGGTTCTGAAGAATTTTGTCCTATAATCTCTGGAAAAACTCACCATCGGCGGGGTCGAAGGCGCCGTCGGCGGCCTAGTTCAATTCTCCACATTTTGGTCCTTTTCGCTCCAAATTCGCTCCTTTTTGTATTTTTTTTCTCCAATGACCCTAATTCATCATTCCTGCAGCAAAATATCAAAAATACCTTTCTTTAAAGTGCAATAACATCAAAAACAGTATAAAATAGGTATGAAAATCTCAACATATTTTTTTTTTTGTCACACCCCTAAGTATTTAAAGGGGGTGGAGATGGATGAAAAGCCTGTAAGGTTGGTGATCCAGTGCTTGTTTGGTGTGGAGACCTTTTTTCTGAAGAGAACTTGGCATTTGTCCTTGTTGAACAACAACCATCATGTTTGTTGAAAATCCAGCAGGCAACCATGAAGTAGTCTAACTGCTGCTTTGTTGGCTTTGGAAAATATAATAATATCATCAGCGTAGATCAAGTGGCTTATATCCAGAGTGGATTTATGGTGGTATGAATTGTAGCTCTTCCTGTGACTAGGCTTATCAATGAGCCTAGAAAGGTAATCCAAAGCAAGAACAAAAATTGTAGGGAATATGGGATCTCCTTGTTTAAGACCCCTTGAAGCTTTGAAGAACCCATGAGCTTCCCCATTTATTAATATTGAATTGACATTACTCTCCAGCCATCTGTGTATCAGCTGACAGGAATCCCTTGAAATTCCCCTTGCCCTCAATGTAGCCAACACAAAATCCCAATTTATCATATCATAGGCCTTCTGTATATTCAGCTTATATATCATATTTCCCCCCTGCACTGTTTGTCCAGATCAAGTAATAATTCTTGTGTAAGCAATACATTATCCCATATGTGCCTTCCTTTTACAAATGCTGCTTGCTTTGGGCTAATTAATTTCTGCAGATAAGGCTGAATTTTCTTCACCAATATCTTGCTGATGGTTTTTCTCACTACATTAGTAAGACTAATTGTTCTGGCATGTTGCAAAGTTTCTTTGATGTTAGATTTGGGAACAAATACTATGGTAGTTGCACTGAAGTACTTTGGTAGTTCATTCCCCTGGAAAATCCATTGTATAGCTGTCACTATATCATCCTTGATGATATCCCAAGCCTTTATGTAGAAATCTGAAGTAAATCCATCATGGCCTGCAACTTTTGATCTGTCAATGGAAAAAAGAGCAATCTTTATTTCCTCAAGACTGGGAACTTCAACAAGATTTAGATTATTGGTATATAAGTGGTAAGTACTAAATAGATCAGGGTCAAGCTATTTTCTTGGAGTGGAAGAACCATTCAGTATTTGCTGACAGTACTCCACAGCACTATTTGCAATCTTAGTTGAATTTTTGATCCAATTGCCAGTACTGTCTTTAATAGAATGTATTGTATTGCTTTTCCTCTTGTAATTGATACAGGTTTGGTAAAACTTTGTATTGTTGTCCCCTTCAGTGAATTTATTAGTGGAGGCTTTCTGTTTAAGAAAATTATCCTGCCAGGCCACTGCATTTAATAGCTTTTCATTTGCTTCCATCATTGCTACTTCATCCTCTGACCCATTGATAGCAGCATTCTCAATTTCCTTCAGCTCCTTCTCAGCCTAATCAACCCCATCCAAAATGTTGCCAAAGGTTCTGCAGTTCCATAAGTTTAGTGCCTTGCCAACTTTTTTATGCAACCTCCAAAGCTTAATAAATGGATTATGGTAATCACATTCTCTCCAATTTTCTTCGACAACTGAACAGAAGTCTTTAAGAGTAGACCAAAAATTATGATATCTGTAAGGAGTTTTTCCATGTTGTTGATTTGTAGAAATTGTGACTAAGAGTGGTCTGTGATATGATCCAGCCATGCTCAAGATAGTGATAGTAGTGTGAAAAAAATTTTTGAGCCATTTATCATTGACTAAGAATCTATCTGTGTTTCCCAGAGTCTTCCCCTTCTCCAAGTGAAATCTAGACCATTGTAACCCATAACAAATAACCCTGGAGCCTGCAAATTATCATTAAAATCAGTCAGTGTCTGGGTATTAGGTGTTATGCCACCTTTTCTACCCCCCCCCCCCCCCCCCCCCCCCCCCCAGCTTTGTCAGATGAGTGGCTGAAATGTTGCAGTTCAGTCCACAGTTCCAATCTGGCCTTTTTAGTGCACCCAACATACACAATAGTGGCATAGCCCTCCTGTCTTGCCATGTTAAATTTAAAATGTAAAAGTTGGGGGTGGTTCAACTGGATAACACAACCTAGCTCCCTTCTTTTATTATTCAGATTAGCAGTTAATGTAAATTCTGGGAAGGCTTTAAGAAATTTTTGGTGGTTGTGATGGACTAAAGGTTCCAAAATTACAAAACACCATAGTTTGTATTTTCTGTTAAAAAATTTAAGCCTTTTTAGAGAAAGGGGGTGGGCAGTCCCCCTTATATTCCAGCAAAGTAGATTAATCATGGTGGAGGGATTTAGATCTCCCCTTAGTTAACCTAGTGAAGGAGTCCCTTCTTGAAAAGTATGAACTGCCTACTCCTAATATGCATGTGTCTTCTTGTGTGGGCCAAGGTAATTTTTTCTTCTTCTTTCCTCTTTGGACCTGACATTCTTCCTCCATTGTCTGTTGTAGTTCTTGAACAATGTTTTCCTCTGGTAGAAGAGGAATGTCTTCATCCTCAGGCATAGATTTAGGGAGACCAGTGGCATGGCCTACTTCCACCAGTTCAGCCACTCCAGTATCAGTTACTGTTATGCCAACACAACTTTCTCCTCCTATCTGAGCAGAGTTCAACCAAGGCTTCGACCTTGGTCTGCAGCAGTGGCTCAATGGAACAGTAACCCAGAAATTAAAAATCCCAGTAGCCCGAGAAGCAGTAAAACATAGAAATGGGATAGCAAAAGGAGACAAAAGAGTAAACGAAATCCCTTTATGTATCGACCACACCTTCATAGCCGCTCCTACCAACCAACAATGAAGATCCACCATTGGGAAAACTCTAACAGAGCTTCCAGCGCCGCCACCATCATGAGATACACACACACACACACACACACACACACACACACACACACACACTTACACTAAACTTGTTTAGAATTATGTATAATTAAAGTTGGCTTCAGTTAGCTTTCCTAGATTAATTTAACAAAAACAAAACAAACCGAACAACAAACGCAAAAACAAAAATATCAAAATTATTCATACGTGAATATTAAATCAACAATGAATTTTTAGTTCATTTAAAAACTTATTCTTAAAATTTAGAATAAATCTCAAACAAACTAATTCCACAAATTTAGAATAAATGAAATAAAATTATATTTATTATTATCATGCAAAATAAATAAATGCCAGAAAATTTATTGAAGTAGAAAAATCCAATGAAATTCTTTAAAAATTAAAACAACCATAAATATTCCAAATATCTAAATATTATAATGCAGCGGACAAATTAGAAATAGGTATCACAGCAATAACCAAAGGCACTTTTTTTTTAATGAGTATCAAGTAATATGATTCTTCTATGCATCATATTCGAAATGATGGCTCCCCTTCAAAGGCTCATAAATAACAGCATTCACAACCCCATCCATTTCCGTCGGTGATGAGAATCCATCGTTGTTTCTGTAAAAAATCTGCAGTGTTTTGCACGTCTTCCAAAATACTTCTTTACATGCTCTTGGAACCACGCTCCCCACGTTCTGTAGAACCAGCCCAAGCAATTCAGCCCTTGTGGAGTCTATCAAACTCAACATATCTTTTTTGACATCTTCTTCGGAAATAGAGCCATTTCCATGGTGAACAAGCAGCCACAAGCTATTTCTTTTCCCCGCTGCTATGTCAGTCTGTAATTGTATCATAGCATTTTACCATATAAGCAGGTCATATAGAAGGAGGGAATGATCAATACTAACAATGAATTTTGAGAAAAAAATCAAATAGAATCAAATACTTACAATACGATGCAGCCTTGAGTTAAATGAGTTTTTTAGGCTGAGCCGATCAATAAAATTTAAGATCAGTCCGACATCGTTTTTATTTTTTATTTTTATTTTTATTTTTAGTTTTATTTTAAAAATATATTTAGTCAGCATAATTAAAAAAATTCAAAACACCAAAAAGATATATGTGTATTTTTAAAAATAACTACAGTTTTATGTTGAAGAATTCACGGAGATAAAGTGATATTTAGCATTTTAACAATGCAAAAAGATCGAGCACAGACATAGATAATGAAAAGGTAGTTCAAGAAGAATGGAGAAATCTAGAGAGAGAAAATCTACGAGGCTTAGCCAACTCAAAGTAATCGAATATAAGTGCATGTGTACAGAAATACATCTTTTTTCTCACCATTAGGATAACGGGGATACTATTTTATACCAGAGATAACAGTTGTTGACATACAACGTAAAGAAAAATGCATATTTTAGGAATACAATAAAAATTATAAGCAATGGTCACCAGTGGTCGATGACTGGCGACTACAAAGACTAGAAGAGTTATCATCGGTCTTCAATATAAGTGTTATAAATTACAACAATATTTGGGATACGACAACTATAAGCGAGGGCGGGCGCTGGAGATTGACTAGTGCAGGATGGTATGACAAGTGAGATGCACTCATGCTATGAGCTGGAGTCTACTTAAATATGTACTACTGGTAATCTATTCTTCAAATTTGATGGAGAAGTCTTCATAACAATAATTTGGTTCTTATTATGTATTACTCCATAACGTTTTATGATTTGTATCACCGCTTCATAAGTTTGTCGAGGTGTAGAAATGTTGGAATATTACATAGTGTTCGTCTTCATCTCCCAATAACATCTTTTATTTTTCAATTTTATCTTTTTGTATTTTCCTTTCGTTAGATTTTCCTTTCTTTCTTTACTTTTGTGGGATTCTTCTTTCTTTTTTATATAAACAATCAGTTAAATTTATCTCCCTAACAAAGATTGTTTGTTTTTTTTGGTATGTAAGATACTAAGCCTTCATAAATTCCAACTTCATTGATTAAAAATAGTTATAGGTCACCCTTGATACTGTATTCTATGTTGCCTCTCCAGTACTTAAAGGAAGTTGGAACAATTGGACCTTAAAGAGGGTTGAGTTATATTTAATTATTTTAAGACTTTAGGGGTGATCATATTTATTTAAATTGGATTTAATTTGATTTTAGCTTTATATTGTGTCCAACTGAATTGGGTCGATTTAGGTTTGATTGGGTCTATTTTGGTCAGTTGACACAATTTATCAAATTGAAGCCCAATTGGGCTTTAAATTGTGTCCAACTAAATCCAATTAATGATTTTATGCTTTCAGGAGTATTCAGTTAAGTTTAATTCTAGTTTAGTCTAATATAGTTCTTTTAAGTCAAATTGGGAATACCCTAATCAAATAAATGTCTGCTCTAAGCATAATTGTATTTTTTTTTAACTATAAGCATATAAAGTTTCTCTAAAAGAATCCTAAACCTCTTACATGGAGATAGACTAGCTAGTAGCCAAACTCTATATTTAGGAAAGCATTTATGTCCAAAACTATCTTTGCAATTTGAGCTAGAATGTTATGCTCAACATCAATTGTTTTCTTATTCAACACTTATTTCATTTAAGCTAATCTAAGTTATAGATTTTTTTTGGAATAAACCCAAATTAGTTTAATAATGGAATTGTAATGACTACTATTGATCGATTTAATAACTTAGTTTTGTCCATGAAGCATGTATTTATCATAATTGAAATTTGTTAAATTATAGTCATCCGAAAGGATCATTGCAATGTAATCCATAAAAAAAATACTTCTTTCTATGTTGCATACCATCATTTGGTTGACCTTTTTAGCCAAATAATATCCAACAAAGAAGCATCTCCTCTTTTTGAGAATAAAATTGGCTTTTAAAAAAAAATGACTTACCTCAAAACCATGAATGTCATTGAAAAGACGACCAAATTTACTGACAAGTTTGAATAAATTGTAATATTCTGAAGACCCAATGATGTTCTCTGAAAGCTCTGGCACAATGAAATAGATGGTAGGTAGAATGATGGGTTCCAAAGCAAATGATATGATGGCATTAGTCATGTATTCATCAATAGTAGGCACCGTGCTATTCTCTATCCAATTAGCTTCTTTCATCGTGGATTTCAACAAATCTTGCCACTGCAAGTTGTCACATGTCAAAATCATATGACAAATAATCTACTAAATAAAAGTACATAAGAAAACTACATGTGTCGATAATATTGGCCTAAATATGCTTGTGAATGAGGTAGCCTAAGAGAATTTATTTGGATTTCTTTCAATGTTCTTTTAACATAAGATATATGAATTTGATAAATTAATTCATCATGTTTAGCATGGCTCAAATTTATATGAATGGTGTAAGATCTCACCATTTTAATAATATGTTTGGTGACATCGCGATTTTGGAAGAGAGAAGCCTTTGCTCCAAGCTCATTAACAGTATTGAATAGAGCTAAAAATATGATCTTCACATTTTCAGAGTAGAAGTCTTTTTCATGAATTTCATGCCATCTACCAAAAAAATGTACCATCACTAACAAAAATTTTCTTTATAATAGATACTACAAAAAAACCAAGATACATCATACTTTTCAACTAGCTTGATAAAATTTGCTAGTTCTTCAGATGAACCACCACCATCAAAAAAATCATCCACTATAGTAATTAGCGTACTAGATTTGGTCCAACATAAGCGAGCACTTGACAGTTCTGAGGAGAATAAGGTAGCAATAGCAGAGAGATAACAATATGTTTGTTTTAGGCGACAGAATTTGAGTTGATCCAGCTTGCTTTCTTTAATCCAACTATTTGCACAAAAGTATGTCATGGACAAACATACAAAAACTCAAACTTAGATGAAACAAGATATAATAAAATGCACTTGCCTCTCAATATGCTGATGTTCTTTCTTATATATCAACTGAGAACTTCTGAATGAATTCACGGCAAGCATCAAAAGCTCATTGTTATTCATGCTAGACCTAATGAAAGTTTTCACATAAAACATGATTTGTTTAAAGAGCTAAAGGTCATGCAAGGAAAAGTTTTGCCTCTCTAATTTTACTCAAAACATAAACAAATTTAAAACTTACACAAATGATGTCTTGAGCATATGAAAATTATCTAACTTGTAGTGTTCAATATTTCTTTTATGCTCCAGCCTTTCCAAACTTGCATAAAAGGGAAATTTCAGAGTATAATCAACCTAAAAAAAAAAAGATGATAAGGAACCAGCAATCTAAAAACTTCATAAGAAACTAAAAAACATTAATATAACAAAGGAAAAGTGTTTAGAATCTTATAAATAACACACACACATACCAAAAGTTAAGGGCCATTTGGGTTCTGTTTTATTTTCTTATTTTTTTTTATTTTTTATTTTTTATCTTTCGTTTATGTTTTAATTAAAAATACCATATGTTTGGCTTTTTTATTAAAGTATAAATGTTTTTAAAGACACTTAAAACACTTCAAAACTGTTTTTACTATTTTCAAAAATATGTTGATTTCGTATTAGAAATAAAAAAGAAATGTGTAAAAAAAAAATTAAACAAACATGTTGTAAAGAAAAAAAGAAAAATAAAAGTAAAAAAAATAATTCCCTAACAAACTCAATTTTATTGTTTTTATTACCTTTTAAAAGAAACACACTTGACAAAAGGAAAAAAAACTTTGATCAGAAAAGCTTAAAGCTGCTTATATATAAAGAATTCTAGTTTTCTTTAAATATCCTAAATTTTCTACCTACTCATCTATTGTACCATTTGGTACCCATGTTTTATTAAGAATTAGTAAATTTATCAAATTGCAATCAATAAGACATCTAAAAAATCTTTTATTGTCTTCATTTGCTATTTTTACTAAAGAATTTTTTATTTTATGGAAACTGATTTTAAATGCTGAAACCATTAAGCAAACAAGGATACAAGATAAGTTATTAAATGATGAGAGCATCATGGAAGGATTTATGACTGACATCCCCTCCTAAGGCCAATCCAATCTTTGTCAATCGTCGTAGATATACATTGTATCATTTCTCTCTGCACTCATATCCTAATACTGAATTATGTTGGAACTCTATCTTTCATTCATTAACAAAGTACAAATTTTCTAAAATAAAAATTTCATGAATTTGGTAATATTTAACAAAATAACATCATATTTATTTCTCAATCCCCCTATTCTAAATCCTATTCAACAATCATCACACTATTCCTATAATAATCTTAATAAATTGAAGAAAAAGAAATTTGGGAAAGTACAAATCAACTACCTCTTGTAAAACATCTAGTGAGTGGATGGCATTAGTATTCAATTCTTCTTTGAGAAAATGAGTCACCCAAGCATTTAATTTCTTTAGAACTGGTTCCTCTGGTGAGATTTGAACCAGTGAAGCCTTATATAGCTCAATAATAGCATTTAAATCTCGCATATGTCCTTGGAGTGTATTCTTGAATTGCTTCACATCAGCAAATTGAGCTAAAGCATCTGTAAAAATGATAGTGCTTAAAGATATTGAATAAATTAAATGCACATGTTCATCCCTCAGAAAAAAAAGTATACAAAGAATAGCTCAAAATGTATAACTCACTGGAAGAGACATCATATCCATTCATACGTAAAATTCGAAATGCCATGGCACAGGTAGCTATGTTTGCATAAATTTCTTCATCTTTATCCACCCAACATCTGCATCTTGAGATAATTCAGTGTTATGAAAAAGCATAAAACTCAAAGACTACAAATAATTAGCTTGATCTCCACCTATATGCTCTATCCAAAAATCTCCTTAGATCATGAATAAAATGTAACGAAACTCCAAGCCTTTCAACTTTATCAACCATCGAAAGATGAGTCTGTATGTCTAGTGGGTAGGTTGTTGGAACTACAAAACACTAAGCATGAATTAATATATAAGACCAAGCAGTACACATACTTTAAGTTAAATTTGAGCACTGCTACCTGAGCAGCCAAACTTCTCTAAAATAGAACTCAAGTAATCAAGGGATTTATCATCTCGAATGTGGCAAAGTGCAGCAGCAGTTGTTGAAGGGGAGTTAAAGAGTGAACCATTTTTTCTTTGGTAACTCATAACCTCTTTCCAATCTGGCAAGCCAATGAGTCCTTCAGCAACAAATGCAAGGTATGCTTTGCTTCCTATAGAATTTATTTCAACCTCTCTAAAAAAAAAGAATGAACAAAAATAAGAATGATTACCTAAAATATAAAAGGAGTCCAAAATTAAACCATAATGCAATGCTATTAGTTAAAAAGAAATAACCTTAGAAACACCTAAAGTAAGATATATTATTGGTTATTAAAATAGTCATTCTTGATATTTTGTAATAAGCTCATCTCAAGTAAATAAAATTTCAAAAACAACATTACAACAATGAACTTTTACAGTTACAAGCTATCCAACCATAAAATTGAAGCAATGCAAGCCTAAAATTTCTACATAATTCTTATAATTATTCTGAACTTAGATCATTTTGTTATTTTTTTTTATTCCTACCAAGGTAGCTCGAATGATGTTGAAAATCTTCTAATTTCAATTTCTTAATTTTTATGATAAAATTTTTAAAATATCTATTAATTTCCATATTAACAAAGACAAGGATTTAAACAAAACTTTCCACAATTCCCGCAGCTTCTTTTATATGTATGGTAGTTCAACCGATAAATTCTCTTTTTCAAACCTTTAAAACCATTTAACATTGTAGGAAAGTCAATTGAAATGACCATAATTGAAACATTTGAATGTTTATGGCTAGCCTTGGCGAATAGTTGGATTTATAACTTAAAGGAATTCCAAATGTCTTTTGGACTAATTCGAACAAATAATCATAAGTTATTTTATTTTTGATGACTAATCAAAATATGTATCATTGCATCACCTACTAATGCTCCACATTCATCATCAAAATGATAAATTGTCAAAATAGTCCTCTAAATATTTCAATGAGATTATGTTTGCCTCAAAATTTATAAAAAAGTTGAGTTAATTTACAAACCCATTTAATGAAGGCTAAAACTGTCCTTAGAATTATTTCAACAAAAGTTAAAAGACTCTATGGACTAAATTAACATTTTTGTAAACTATTGGTGTAAAATGACCTATAGCAAAAAATCAAAGACTATTTTGACACATTCTTTTCATCAAAATAAATGCTACTCTTCTTAACTACTTGCCATTTTTTTTTTTGAAAGCCTTTTCTCAATCGAAGTAATACTCTCCAATCTCAACTGGAGTCATCATTTCCATGAACTAGTTTAGCTTTAAATTCAAGGATGTCTCAATTAAATGTGCCAACAAAAGCTCTTGGTGAAACAAATATCACTACCCAAATCATTGATTTTTAGGGTTTCAATCAACAACTTGTCAGTAATTTTGACTAGTGGAATGATAATAACAACTAAAATTGTGGCCACACTCAACATAAAAATATAATAATGTCCTCATTTCGCAATGTCACCTTATTATATGGCAACATCACTAGACTTTCTGAAAACATGTTGTTTCCCTACAATTCTATAATAAAATACTAACAACTTCATGACATCAATAATGTCCCAATAAATGAATGTGTGTGGACTAACATATTCTACTCGCACTCTTGCTCATGTAGTCTACTACCTATGATCAAAAGGCTAGATTTTTTATATCAATTTACAGCCGAAATTTGAACTGTATCCATCTACTTTCTTGGATGACAAGCTAAGTCATGGACAATAGCCCTACTATTTTCAAGACCTCTCAAAATAAATTACCATTAATTTAGTAATATATAATCTTAAAAAGATCATTCATGATGTGTGTCGATTTTAGCCATAATTTCATAATATATATGATTTTTTAAAAAAAACCTTTATAATGTTCACAAATGTCTGAATTGAATGGCGGGAGAATATTTATTTAATGAATAAGATTTATTGAAACATTTTGAGAGCAAATATTTAGATAAAATATCTAACTTGTCTGCTTTGTCTAATATAATTATTACATGATAATATAGTATGGCTAATGTACTATAGGCTATTAACTTGCTCTTTTGATTTAGAGGATAATCTAAAAGAGAATAACGATCCTCAATTCGTAGGTGGTCTAATAGTAGTAGAGACCCTGAATTTCAATTATTTGAGCGTAATAAAGATTTTAGTAGGTTCTCACATGACTAATCTACAATGCAATCGAAATTTTCATAGATGATAAAGCATTCAACATTTGAAAAGCAAGAAAAATTGATGACTTTGCATACTATATGGTGCCACAATTCAGCTTTGAATCTCAGTAAACATGGCTCATTCAAATAAAAATCAAAGAAACAAAAATTTCAATATCATCTAAGAGTATCCATACAAATAATAGCAATGAAAATTGAAGTAAATATACTAGTTGAAATATTAACAAACATAATACATTCTACTGGATTTTAGAATCTCTAGCAACTAACTATTTACTTTCTAAATGATGTAAATGAAATTTTATGTAAGGGCAAAGCAATTTTAAAACTATGGACAACTAAAAATGGTGATTCACATCCTCTACATAGTTCTAGATGAAGGTAACTACAAAGTCTATGAAAGAAATAACCATTATGTCTAGAATGAAAGCTATCACAAAATTCTATAACGTAGGTTACAAAATTATTCAATTTTAAGTGATCATTAATTTTAAGAAATATTTTTTTATATGCTAATATAATCCCACTTTTAAAGTATCACACGAACAACATATCAAGCTCACAATATCTTCTATCAATGGGTGAGAATCTTAAAAGAATTTCCATGTGCCTTCCTTCTCAAAGTTTATAATGAGTTTGTTACCTCATATAGATATTAGAATTTTTTTTAACCATACTAAAATCTTGTGTTCTTGTGTGCAAGTTAGGTTTCTCTTCTTGAATTTTGGAGATTACACACAAAAAATTAGTATCAAAGACAAACAAGATCATTAGCCAAAATATTGAAAGTGGGAATTAACAAATTTTAATCACATCAGATGTTTCACTTATCACCTATAATATAACGAGGTAACTAAGTGTCAAATAAAGAACAAACATGTCACTAGGCGAAGATAATCATCTTGTCAGCATGGATTTGACTAGTTGAAACTTCTTGCAACTCAACATAGAAGATGAAAGCCATTAAATCAGTTCATAAATTACATATATCTAACCTACAATCCTTTATCACAACATGATCTAGTTTTGAGCTAACTAGACAAAGCAACCAAGGTCGACCCACCAAAATGCTTTTCCAAAACATTCTAGTGTAGAGACAAAAAACTAGAGTTTATGGCATATTTGCCCGACTATCAAGTTGAGCTTGTTAATCAATATGAAATTAATAGCGAAGTGCCCATAAGAGATTATGTAGAAACCATGATCTTTATGGGAACTTTAAGGTGGAGAAATTTAATGATAAAAAACTTTGGCATTTGACATTGCAAAGCTAAAAATCTTTTATTTCAAAATGATCTTATTACTTTGGATCTAATCCTAAGCACACGGCAAATAAAGATTGGAACTTAATAAATCTCAAAGATTGACTCAATCCAAATCGACATAGCAAAGAAACAAAAGTACTTAATTATGAGGAAGACTTGGCAATAAGTCTCTAAAACAATTTTGGAGATTCCATAAGAAAAAAATGTATTGAGAACCAACTCTACTTGAATGTATAAAGAATCAATTCAACATCCTTTCTATTCTTAAGAAAATGAAAAATATTTGAAAGAAATAAAACAATTATGTAGAAGTTAATAAGAATTGGTGAAGATTTACAAGAATTATGTCATCATCTTTTTATTTCGAAAAACTGTAATTTTTAAATTTTTATAAAGCTTTACTATTATATAATTGTTTTAAATTAAAAGTATTAATCATTGCATGTCAATTCATTTTTTTAGTTAATAAACTAAATCAAAACTTTAAATATTGAATCATTATTATATGCTTTGACTTTTCTCTTCATTGGAGGCAACTAAGTAATGCATAAAGTATTTAAGGTTCTTAAAATTAAAATATATATATTAAAATTTTTAGAAGAATTATTAAATGTTACCATATATGCATAAAGTTATAGGATGCCTATATCCTTTGATGTGTGACAAAAAGGAGGATATCCAACAAGGTTTGTAGAAAGAATCAATAAGAACACTAGCCATTTGATTGAGATAAATTAATAATCCATTAGATAGGTTATATGCATTATACATACTATTTAATAACCATAATCAAAATATAGTTTAGATGATTTGAATGAAGCAAAATCCAAATTTTAGATTACCTACTATATGCTAAAGTAATATGTTTAACTCTATGTGTAATTTATAGGTTAAATCAATGTTTAGTATAGCAAATTAATAGGAAAGCCAGGCTAACTCTTCAAGGATCAAAATCTTACGGTGATTAGACAATAAATAATTATATTTTAATGCTTAAGTGCTTTTTTTTTTGCTTCCCTTACTAGTCATAATTATATTTGATTCAATTATATTAAGTTGATATAATGTACTATGACAAATATAATTCGTAAATGACATTTAATTTTTCTTTCTTCTTAATTAAAATGTCATAAATTTAGTAATCAAATACATATTATACCATTTATTTTGTATTATAAATATTTTCTCAAAGAAAAGATCTCATAAGTTAAAAAGATTGTATATGAAATGATATTTGCAGGGATACGTAGATGTGTATGATGATGGATGGAGTTAACCCCCTTATAATACATTTTGAAGGATATTATACCAATGTATTAATGGTTTTAATTTCCTCATTAGACAATAGAAAAAATAAAAACCACATCATACTATGCTGAAGGAAGATATATCAATCATCACCTTGAATAATAGTAGACATATTTTATGTCATATAATGTCGAAAATAAAAAGGTATTCTTTTAACAATATTTATTTATGCTTTAAAATACATATAGTTGATTAGTGGCACTTTTGAAATACATGGAGGTAGATATTATTTGAATGTTCCAAGACTAAATTTTGATTTTGAGCGAGAGTTATTAGTTATAATTTAACCTCAATTTGATCATTTGTTATTTCCTTGGTAACTCTAAACTCTAAGGTTGGGTTGTGACATCAAAGAAGTCATTTAGCATCACAATTTGATCCAAGGCTTTAAAGCATTTATTAAAAAAAATTGTTTTTTTTTCACTCAAGAGCACAGTGAAAATAACATTGTTTTTTTTTTTTTAGGAAGCTCGACAAGGTATGAAAATGATGGCTCGCTCGTACTATTAAGTCTTAAATAGAAGCTACCAAAATGTACTAAATGGAGGTTATCATGGAGCTTATAAAAAGGGCTCCCTCAAGATCTATGGCAAAGTTAACTATAAAGGTCATACAAATTTGTTGAAAGGACATTATTCATTAATGTTTGGAGATGAATTCTTATTCTTCTATATTTATAAATTCTTGTAGTCCACAATGGAAAGTTTCTCACAAGAAACTCCTAAAGATTGTAATAGCTTTGGTGTAACTGTAGAGGTCCAAGGGAAATTTTGAGCTTCTTTTTCATTTTTATAGTGAATTCTTTCCTCCCATAAATACATATTATTGAACAACAATAAATATTTACATTCTTGTAAGTATCTTGATTTTATCTTTTTGAATTTTGAAGCTCGCATACAACATGAACTTCCTAGTAAACTTATAAATTTAGGACATTGTAAATACATGGAAATGAATAGTAGTATATGCTCAAGAAATATGCATAAAGTTTAAAATATTAAAGCCCTAAATTGCATGTTGATATTATTTCAGATAGATTCATGATCATGGACTATAAAAAAATCAGTTGTTTAACATTAGGAAATAAAGTGTATAATAGGGATTTATATCCATACCAAAACTAAAAAGATATGGGAAAAGCCTTTGTTAGATTTGGCGGGTCTAAAAAATTTTGACTAAGAATGTGAAACCAAGAAGTTCTGCTTCCGAATTGTTTAGTTTATGCACAATTCCTATCGAATCATTACACTTAAGGGTAAATAAAAACATAGTCATATAGAAAATTCACTAGAGAACAATACTTCAAAGGTAAGTATGAGAATATATAGCTTACATTTGTGATAGGCCAAGATGAAGAAAGGTTGAAATTTGTTATTTCAATCCAACTTGCAATATTGAATGGTTGATATCATATAAGAAGGAATGGAAGTGAAGACTAGATTGGAGGGAGAACGGCAATAGATAATTTCATTACCATTTGATAGAAAAATAATGCAATATTTTTTTTGTTTAATGTCTTTTCAAATCTACATGAATTAGCTCTCTTAAATCTACATGAATTAGCTCTCTTACACTAAACTAACTAGGATAAATTTTTCTTCATGTTAGCTAACATTAGATGCCAAGGAAACTTTAATAGAAAAATAAAAATTGATCAACTTATGTTATAAAGATAGCTAAACATTGTTATACTTTTATCACCTAAATGTATTCCCACAATGAAGTATTAATCTTTTCAAAAATTAAGTGTTTTTATATTTTTTTAGAGAATTGGACTTATTTTCCAAGAGTGTTCAGAATTTTAATGTTAAAATTTTATACACATTATCAAATGACAAGAATCTGGTATTTTCATTAATCAAATCTAATTATTCTTCTTAAAGAAATTAAACATAAATAATCAAAATAATTATGAAACGTACCCCGAAAAGAGTTTCATACCTTCTAAGTTCTTTTTCTCTCATAGAAAACATTACATATATGTCATTTTCCCTCAATGGAAGATCCAACCCCATTTCTATTGCATAGTTGATCATACCTGGAAATATAATACTAAAGCCAATAGGTGATTGTAGTTGCTCATTCATACTAGAGGAGATATTTGATTCAATGAAGGAGAGGCCTGCAATGGAAACTCCAAATGAAAATTTTAATTCCATAATATTAATAATTAGAAGAATATTTACAAGTACCTTTTTTGACATACTCCTCACCAACATTCCATCGCCTAAGTCTAGCACACAAGCCAAAGTTGATGACAAAGCATCTTTAGCAATAGAAGGCTTTTGATGTGTGGGGACCCACGAACCATCAGAAAGCTGGTTATCCATTATCCAATCAATACATTTAGGAAAGTAAGGAGCTCCAGGAAATGATGAGGATGGGACCATTGCAACCCAAGCAGTATCATAAGCAGATATTGAGAGTTCAACTGCTAGTAGCTTCTCCCTTTTTTTTTCCAAGAAGCTTAAGGAATTCTATAAATCATTTCAAGCATTTTGGATCAAGTATTAATCCATAAAAAGAATAACAATGTCATACATATTAGGAGGTGTTATTCATACCACAATTGGATCATCGGAACTAATAATATTATTTTGCCTATTATCCAAAATCACTGCAAGAAAAAATAAAAATCATCAACTCATAAAGAGCATAATAAGGCAACTAAATATAAGGCATCATCAATGGGACAAAAGAAAGACTTAAAAGAATTCATTTCATTTTGCAACAATGGATTCAAACCACCCTAGAGAATTGCATTACAAGTTAAAGAAACAGTTGGACGATATGTAAGTGTTATAAATGGTGAAGTGAATAGATCAAATAAAGTAAAATTCATATCTTCGCTCAGTAAACTTTTACAAATATTTAAATCCATTTTTTTAATTTCATTTCCCACGTTAATATGTTTGCTCAATAACCAAGATAAGTTTAAGGTATCAATCTGATTATTCAATTGGGCTTCTACAAGTGGAACAAAAATTGAAAGTAATCCTAACTAATCTAGGCCAACTTTTCTGTGCATAAATTGAGCCAATTTGGTGCATATTGATCACAACATCATAGCATTTTTCAATTTATCACACGAAAATAGGTTAGTAGACTTTGGGATGGAGGAGTTTTATATGAAAAAATTAAGAAAGAAAATTGCATAGCCTGAACTACTTAAATAGCTTTGACTAGTATGGAAAAAGTTACAATGCACCACCCTTCTTCAAATTGGAGGTGTCAATATAAAGAAAGAGAATGAGATGTTCGTTATTATCTATAATTATGATGATCAATGTACCTAAAGTTGGCTACAGTGCTAATCTTGCAAGAGAGAAGAATTTGGAAGTCATCTAAGAGACAACTACATTATAAATCTCGCAAGGGATGGTTGTTTTATAAGTAATAATGCAGATGGATGTGACCCAAGTCTAATGGTAAATATTATTGGAGATGACTATGACAGTTTTTTCCATGTGGCATAATAGCTCTAAATAATTCCTTAAGCCAAGCTACGGCTCTTCTTCCATCCATGATTTTTTATTTTTTTTCTATAATAATTACATCAAACTTGATGCCTACAATGATAACAAGAAATTCATTTGCATATTCTTAAGACCTCAAGACCCAATGACCCCGGCCCATCACAAGCAACTTTTGTCCAACAGGTTATACAAATTTTGGATGCAACTCGAAAAAATTTTGAGGACATATCATTGTATTTGGTCTCTATGAAATTGCTTGAAGATTCGACCAGAAAAGAGTTTTTCATAGAGAAGCTCACTAACCGTTGAGTGGCCTACCTACGTTATTTCATGAGTAGTGACATTTGAGGGAAACATTATTTTAATTAGATTCTAGAGGGATATTTTTATTTGTCTATGATTTTTCATGATGCTTTGTATATTTATGTAGCTTTGTACATGCCACTTTACAAGAGAGTTTCTCATTTCTCGTTAAGTTTTATATTTTCTTCTATAATATTATTTGTTTATGTTGTAATCTTCGTAACCGTATATGATTGTATTAATATCATTGATGTTTATGTGTTAGCCACTTTGATGCCGAAATACATGGATGCAACGAGAGAAAGGCACAGAAGGAGACTTGTAACTGTTGTATGCTTGTTGTAAGAATATTATAACTCATACATAGAACACTCCTCTTGCATGAAATTCTCATATGTTGGCAAAAAATTGGTTGGTGAGTTGCTTGCAGGCCACCCAACTGCATGACATGTGCATTATTCACCGATCTGTTGGAGGAACTACACAAAAATCATGAGCTTCATGACTCATCCAGAATGACTTCACGAGAGGTGTTGACAATAACCCTCTATATATTATCACATAATGAATCAATTTAATGAGTTATGGAGTGATTTCAACACTTTCCTGAAACGATTTATAGATACCTTTCAGTAGGGTTGAATGCACTTATTAGTTTCTCTTCACATCATAAAATCAACAGTTTAATAATTGAACCGACCCCCATGGAGATTTCAGCCGATGCGCGGTATATGTTTAATTTCTCTTAACTATTATATTCAATTTTTTTATAGATAACACAATTACATAGTTATTCATCATATTTCTAGAATTCTATTGGAGCAATCAATGAAGCACACATTAATGCACATGTTCCAAATAATGAGAAGATCACATTCATCAGTCGTTGTGGGTCCCCAACATAGAATTCATGGTGGTATGCGACTTCGACATGTGCTTCACTTTTTTCATAGTCAATTGGGAGAGCAGTGCAAATGACAGTCAAATTTTGAAATCGACAATATGGAATAACAAATACAACTTTCCGCATCCATACACAGCTTCGCTTGAGGCTGAGCAACTCTCCTAATTCTTATTTCCTTCACCACTAATCATTCAATTCACACCAAATAAATACTATTTGTTTGATGTGCGGTATCTGTTGCAGTGAGAGTATCTCAAACCATATCCTGATACGAGATACTACATATCTAATTTTGAGCGAGTCAATAATATCACACAGGGAAGAAAAGAAATGTTTAACAAAAGACATTCATCTTTACGTGATGCTATTGAGAGGATTTTTGGTATTTGGAATAAGAAATTGGTTATACTTCATCATATGTCATCTTAATCGTTTCTCAAACAGGTGCAGATTATAATTGTCATGATGACTCTCTACAAAATATATATCGGCATCCTTCTTGCAATGACATCGGCTTTCGTAGGGCGAACGAGGATCATGAATATGTCCCTACTGAGGTATATGAGTATCATCTTAGACAGTCTTTGTCACAAGCCAAAAATGATGTTCTCGAGACATGTACTAAAGACGGGGAATGTATAAGGGAGATGACAGTGAATGAAATACATATGCGATAGTTGGAAAGTGATTGGAGTTTTTATCATATTATTAATTGTCATGGTTTTTAAAGAGAATCATTATTTATTTTATCAATATTTTATATAGTTTATGTTTATTTCCATTCCATTTGTATTTGATATTGATTATTTTAATTTTTTACACAATTTGAAAGTGTCAATTTTCCTTTTGCATTTCTTTTTTTTTTTCTTTTCGTGGGCTTTAAAGGTCTATCTTTTGAGATGAAATATTTAGCACTAAGGGCATGTTTGCTGCTATTGGTTGGTGTCACATGTGATCCTAATGAAAGCAACCAAGTTCCTTTCGTTTTTTCGATGCTACAGTTTTTAAAGCTCTTCTGGATGGCTTTTTTTGGTGATATGCATATGTGAAACACACCAGCTTGATATTACATGTGTTAAAGGTAACCAAAAACATTATTTTCTTAATCCTGTTATATTCTTGTAGTGACAGATTTATTGGTTTATACATTATGTTATCTGAGATCTCACAGCTGCATAAAATTATAATTAATTACTTGTGCTATCAGTTTTGTCTTATGTTATGTTTGATGTGATGTTTTTTCATGCATTCAAGAATGATGAGCTTGTGGCTTTCTAGTACCTCCCGAGGATTGTACTACTACTGTGGACTTCAAAGTTCACCGCTAACTTCACGCCAGCCACATAGCAAAGAGAGACAATTTTACAGGTTTCCGCGGAGAATCACATAAAACTGTGACTATTTTCGATGGGCAAATATGCTTAAAAATTCAACCACCGAGAGTCACATGGACAGTATAGTTGGAGAATGACTTATCTTTGTCATACACCATCTGCATTTTAAAAATAAGAAAATCATATTATTAATTATTGTTTAAATAGTCTTTTATTTAATATTAGTAATCATGTTATCCACTGTTACGTGAGTTGTCTATCTTTATTTTGTAATATACTGCACTGAATTTATTTTTTAAATATAAAATGTATTGGTATGAACAGTTTTGTTGTAAAAAACATTAATGTACAAGGATAGAATTATCATTTTTCCAAAAACAGTAGCAGCACAGCAGTTTTCAAACTGTAAAAAATAAACAGACGATCAGCTTATTCGCAGCAGCTTCTATGCAGCAACTTATTATTAAGCTGCAGCTGCCCCAAACATATCCTTGATTTTCCCAATATCTGATTTATGGAATTGATTTAGCAAGAATTTATACACTGTGCAGATAAATGTTTCACGGGATATTCATATAAAAAATAAAGTGGAATGGTTAGTGAACCCAGTCTCAATGATTTTTGACATGCATAAAATTTCTACATGAAAAAAGTTGCAGTTGACTAGAATCGAAACCTTGAGCGCCTAATCACACGCTTTCAGTTCTCATAAAAAAAAGTGGAATGACTGCAAACAGAAACGAAACCTTGATGCCCGCCTGCATTGACCACAGAGTTCCTATCGAAAGCGTGCGTATAAACACGGGACCTTCCCACGCCAAGGAAACAGCCAACCGAAGAAACAGCATTAGAAAACATTTTAGCGGCGAGATGTTTCCCTTGACTCCAACTGCAGACATAGAAGAAAGAGGAATTAAGCAAAGAGCTTGTAAATTCCCACATATTAAAATTTAAAAAGCAAGGCTGAAGCTTTACTATAATCCAGATAAAACTGAAATCACGCAACGCAGCTGTGATCAATCAACGATCACCGAGGGAAGAGGGAGCAAGAAACTTAGACCTTCCAATGAAGAACACTATTCACGTCCACTCCTCTTTTTTGAAACTGAGAAAGATAGCCCCGTCCGCGCCTCTTTTTTATTTTTTATATATTTTTTTTCGGCGTTCGAGACATAGCCATAGAAATTAGTTATTTGGATGCGTTACGTCAGAGTCACCAATTAGAAAGGGCCTATAAATTTTACACGTCGCCTTCCCTAGCTTAGAAAACCAAAAGTACACGGAGACTTCTTGATGAAGCTTTTATGTTCATGTCGGGCTTTGGAGAAGCAGTAAGTGTAGAACAGCTACTGTGCTTAATCTTTTGGATTTGCGTGCAGATATGGGCCCCAATGATACTGACAGAATTTAAAGGCGGATCCAAAAGTATATTTGAGATTGAGGATTTAAGAAGTACGTGTCTCGAATGGGAAACGTTTATGTAAGGCTAGGCATGAAATAGGTATTTTAAGTTTTCTTCAATTTGATAATCTTCTAAAATTTTAAATATAGTTAATTAATTATGTAAATTTTTATTTTTTTATTCCAACTGCCCAAAATTCTCAATACCTTCATTTCAACCACTCCAAACTCATGCCCTCGCAAACGTCTCCCTTGGTCGAGTTTTGTCAGGGGTCTTTTTCCCTCATTAGTTGGTTCTATCAACCTCCATTGCACATATCTTCATCTTGAAGAGACGCTCTTGTTGTGCTTACCCCTCCTTAGTCTCTTCCGTAGGATTGACGAAATTGAATTCTCTTCCTTTTCCAACTTCATCCGCCCACCTCATTGCAAGGATTTAGTGAGCTTAAGGTCGGTCCTCTCACATGCAGTTGCTTCACTCTGATTCTTGACTTTTTTTCACTTTGATTTTAGACATGATTCTCCATTTCACTGTTGAGTATAGGTAGATCCCATGCATTTATTCTCGATTTCACGATTCTGTGCTATTTAGGGTTTGTAATGGTAAAATATTTTTGCGGTATCTATTTTTTACTCGAGCTTTTGGTAAATCACCACAGTTCATGTTCAATTACCAAAAGTTCATGTTCCTATTTTTGACAAAGTGAAAACCCCTGTTTTTGTTTGTTTTGTGCAAAGGATTTCAAAGGGTCATAATATGATTTTGGTTTTAAATTTCAATATGATGGATCTTTTAAGAGAAGCTTTTAATGGTATATTTTCTAATTGTTTTGTTTCAACTTTGGATCCTACAATAACTAGAAATTGGGTTTTTTTTTTTTTTGTTCAGTTTATCATTGGTAGATGTTTTTGGAGAAGCTCTTAGTCATATTGATGATCGTTTTTTTAAATATAATAGTGCTTACGACATTGATGGTGATTGATTGTAATATGACTAATTGTGATTATAAGATAAATAATGCGTGTTGTAAATGACATGTTGATGAGGAGATAATCTATGAATAAATCTACAACACACATAATAATCGTATGAACTCAAAATCTTGTGTGCTTGACATTGCTTCTAATAAATTGAGAATTAATCTAACACCCAATTTGTATGTTTTTAAATGCATACTAGCCAATTCCTATGTATTTATGTATCTAACACCTTTTCAAGCATAGGTAAAGTGTTATGTATGTAAAGTTGAAGTTTAAGTGTTAGATATGTAGCTAGGTAAAATAGTTCTAACAAAAAAGAAAAGTTAGTTACTGATAAACTCATTTTTAAAAAGTTTATCAAGTTTAAATTAGTGCTTTGGAAATTGTTAATAAAAAAGAGATGATTTGTATACAACTTATCAACTTAATATTACTTTTATAAGTTGAAAGTTAATGGTTAATGTTTTCAATTTAGGTATCAAAGAAGGATGAGTTTATGCCAATCATCAATAGCTACAAATGTAATTTGAAACAGTGAAGTGTATTGGAGTTGCAAATTGCCATGCATTAAATAGACCGCTCATATGTGAAAATAATGACATAAATATGCTTTCAAAAACGTACAAAGGATAATTGTAAGTTCATGAAATGGATATTTGGAGATGAACTAACAATGAAAAATATTTCGTATCAGCTTTATGCTCATGAAATGTATAGAAGGAAAATTGATGTCATCACATCTCATTTGAAGATTTTGATTCGAATTGTTTTTGCAGGCATCATTTATCATATATATATATGCTTAGTTTATAAAATATTACTAGGGTAATGCCTTTTTTTTCATTATTTATTTATAGTGTTGTATACATGACATTACTATTGATGCATCTTCTTTCAAGGAAATGACAGATGTATTCTTATTTTTATTGATGTGCTAAATTTTTGTAATTGTTTGACTTGTTGAGTTGTGTTCACTTTTTGTAGTCATTATATTGGTTAGTACTATGATTTTTTTCACCTTTCGAATGATTTTATTATGAACATAAACTATTTTGTTTTGATTTAAACTAATAAATTTTTGTATAAAACAAAGGAATTGTAGATTGGGGGTGGGGAGGTAACTCAAAAAAATATATACTTTTTAACATTCATATGACCCAAATCATTCACATCATATCGAATTGTAATATTCATGCCACTCAATTTTCGTGCATGGCTAAAGTGGTGTGCATGTAAAAATTGAAGTTTAATTGTTAGATATGTAAATACATCGGAATTGAGTGGTATGCGGAATTGAGTGGTAGGTATGTCTACGTATTACTATTTTAACATTTGAACATTTTAAATATATTTTTAATATTTTAACATCTGAAGGTAGAATTGTGCCACTTTATTCCTTATTTAAACATAATTCTAACTACTGTACTTTATAGGTAAGCAATTTTATTAGATCCATATAACATAATTGTGCTGAATATTATATCTCTTTACATCAAAGTGCATGATTAAAAAATTTATGATAAAATCAATTACCATAGAAATATCGAAATAACAAAAATGTCCATCTAGTTGTAGAATGCTTTTTTGGATTTATGATATATTTTGGATGCACATATACATTTACATTCAAAGAACCTAATTGGCTCTTTTGGAACAAAAGTACTCAATTGAGGATAATCATTGAATCCAAATACCCAATTCGTAAGAATTTACATATCGAACACATAATGTTGAAGTTTCACATCCATTATATCATGCGACATTTTTTATGAACTACTCAATGATTATGCTAATTACAAAGAATCATATGAAACACTTAATTCAATGTTCATTTAATAAGATCTAATAGTATGTGCAACATAGAACTTGTGCATCTTTTCTGGTCATGAGATTGTTGGGTTGATGAAGTCAGAATCATTTGACTTTTCCATGACAGTGTTCCAAAGCCTTCACTGATCTTTAATGAATTTTTTAAAAGTTGTGTTAAGAATTCAAATATTTAAAATCTTCGTCCTTGACCATCCTCACCATCCTTATAAGACCTGCCCGATGATCCCTTAAGAGTAGTTGGCGAAAAATCTTTAGGGACAGTTGTTGTTCGCGTTTATCGCTTTTTCAATTTATCAATAATTTGAGATACTTCAATAATAAGTGTCCGTCACGATGAAAAATATATGGATCTCATGCAAATAGCCCTACAATGTAACCTGAATCAATGTGTTGAATTCAAAAAACAAACAAGGCTTCACCAACGGTACATAGACTTTGTGAGTTCATCAAAATTATAATGTTGCCAAAGAGCTTCAATATGATTACAACATCAAATGATGTGGCATAATTTACAACACCTTCACCAATGACTGAGCTGAGAGGCATCTCCTCTTCATTAAGAATCTATATAAGTAATAAGTTTCTTACATTTAATGGTTTTCTTTTTATTTTCTTTTCGGAAGATAAATGATAAGTACAACACCATAAATCTAAAGAACTGACAAAGTTCATCTTTTCCTAGCTTAGAAACAAAGGGATCGTACTCAGAAGATACAAGAGGTTCTGAAATTATACTTAATGACGAAGATCAAATAGCTCCTGGGCAGAGCAACTAAAGAAAAGCCAAACATAACAAAACTTTGGAAACCAAGTAAAATTTAGTTAGAGAATGTGAGAGTTTGAATGATAATGATAGAAAAATTCAATTCATGTTGTCGGGCTTGATAGCCTCTATGAAATCCCACAACATGGTATCTCAAATAAATCTCTGAGGAGAAGAGGAATATAAAAATAAGAACAAAAAAAAAATTTAAGGAAGCGTTCTTCATGCTCAGCGATATTTGTGCTATTGAACTGAAGTAATATGATCTTAAGGAAGGGTATTTTTAATGTATTTATGGAAATTCACATATTTCTTAACAGTAACTGATATTTCTCTCATTATAACTTCATTAAAACTAGGTTTGCTACAAAGAAGATGGATTGTTGCCTTCTTACTATTGCACTTGATCTGGCATGATGGTTCCAATTCGGCACCTATCCAAAAGCTTACTGAATATACCTTATAAGCAGCTTCCTTAGACTTGGTGCTGGTTCACACTTCCACTAAAAAATACAAACTTGCAAAGCTTCTGATCATTGAAGCAATGCTAACTACTCTGAATGACTACTTCATCTTCAAGAAATTTAGTAATGTTGGGATCACAAAAGAGGAATAAAGTTGGGTTCACAAGTTAGTGTAATAAAAAGAAAAACTTTAACCTACCAAAACTCCTAAAAGCCTTAAATTAGCAAGAAAATTTTGTCTCTCTCCTTATTTCAAGCACATGAGCAATAAGAAGGAAAGGTGAATGATTTGAGCAACAACATAGAAACATTTATTTATTATATTCTTTAAGGATGCAATATTCTTATTTACTCATTTACCACAAACACAAATAACAGACAAATCTAAGTTCCAAAAAAGGTTAAAACTTATGTTGGCAATAATCTGAGAGGTAAACTAGAATCAATCAAGCCAACAAAAGATAAACTTATAGCGCTCTGTTCAGGAAGCATTAAGAAAATGCGGCCATAATAATGTGTGTCTAGAAATTTTTATTGATGGATACCTTTAGAGTTGCCTTTTACAAAATATTGATATTCAAGATTTACATAAACCTCATCTTTTGGAAGATATGGCTTGCACATCATAACATAATGAACATTATTTTGCACTTTCACGTTGGCAACTGCCCTTGCATAAGATCCATCCACATTATGGGACACAAAAACTTTCAACAATACAAGATACAACAAAAGCTTATTTTTCCTTTCAAAATGGCCAAATGATGTAAAGAATAGAATAATTAACCTTGAATTGGTTTAAAAATTTGTTGCAAGTCCATAGATAATTCGTGGTGGAATATGCACGTTTGAGAATGTAAATAGTAGCACAGAAAAGGAAAATAAATACAAACATTTAAAAATAATACTTCTTTTGAGCTCATTCGTAATAACTATTGAAACTATACATATGATTCATGATCAAATTAGTAAGAACACTGACTCAAAAAGTCATTTCATCCATAACCATCCTCCAAACCAAAGTGGCTTCTCGCTGCAGCAAAAAATTAAATAGGAAAGAACATGGAATTCTAATATTTCTCTTAGACTTTTGTTATGTGGTTTGCATTTAGATTGATGATGTGATAGGCGTCAAAGGTGAATGTAATGGAAAAAATGTTACTTTTGTTAGTTTATGAATGGACAGGAGGTTAAAAGCTAAATTGGGATTGTGATACAATTAAAGTTGGTAAAGGATACTCAGAGGGGTGGATAAGATTTCTTAGCCAACTTGTCCTAGGTGGTTGTTGACCATTCTTGACTGTAATAGTGTTGTCTCCATTGTACTTTTGATCTTGAATCAGGTGATGTAGTTAAGAAGTGAGGTGCTCAAAGGCACCACTATCAATG